GTATGCCAACATTGAGCTTCTTACGTTGAGTGGTTTGAGCAGGATCGTGATTAATCAGTATGTCAGTCACTTAAAGCTTTTATATATTAGTATAGATTACTGATTAATGTGGTTTTAAAGCAAGGGGAGTTTATCCAGAGTACCCACTCTCACTATTCGCTGGAATTTTTTTTTAAGATTTAGAATTTATGTTTTGTTTTTTGTTATTTTGTTAAGAATGGTTAAGGTGCCCATTCACATGCAGTTAGCCGGCAGTCAAGGACTGTCGATTTGCACATCGTCAGTTAAAATTTCTTAAACAGATTACTGAGTCTACTGTATTCCATTGATCTTTATACTGCGATTGTTGATTTTGAATTTTTGTATTTTAAGGAAACTGTATTTATTTTATTCTATATTCTTCAATCTCAATATTGGAAGCTGAACAAGGCTGGACACAATTAAGGGATGCGATTCATAAAACCAATTTAAAAGCATTTTACTGGATAAGTCGAACAAAAAGAAACAACCAGAGTTGTATTTTTTAAATGGAAATCAACTGCATATACAGGCTTTGTTGGGTAAAAAAGCATACAGAGCATATCAAGCCGTCAAATAAATCCACATAATTGCAGTATTAATGGTAGACAACTCTTAAAGCAGCCAACAACACGCTTCGAAGAGAAGTTTGCGCCAATTGAAAGGATAACTGGTGGTCACAAAAGCGAATCAGATTCAAGAGTACGCCACGCATCACGATTATCGTAAATTCTTCGAGGCTGTAAAAAATAAAGTATTATACCACTTCTTACCTATTCCTTCCAATCATCGTAGAAAATGGCGAACTTCTAAAAGGAAGAACAAATTAGAAATACGCTGGAATAAGAACATTACAGCCATATCCTTAACCAAGAAAACAAATGGGGTAATATGGAAGCATTAAATATTATACCTCAGTATAAACAGCCTCGATGTATTAGACATCCCAATAAAAGAACAAGAATTTAAGACCTCCATAAAACAGTATACCATTAAAAACATACCATCAGTATTTGTGACGAAATCCCGGCGGAAATCTACTAAGTGTGCAAGTAAACTACTTATTTGTGTTCGTTAATCTCTTTGATTCGTAAATAAATGTGGATTTGTACCTCAGAAATCAATATAATGATAAGTTATGAAAATGAACGTTTCTTAAGAACAAAATAAGTGCATTGTAAAAAATTACCGGGGAATTTCGCTGTTACTTATTACCAAAATTCTTGCACAAAATAATGAAATATTTAAACAGTTTTTTTTTTATTTTTAATCAAATAAACGAACTATATCGACAATATTAGTATCTGTACTCTTTAAAAATTTGTTACATCTTTAAAAAAGCAGCAGTCTAAACTTTATGTTGCATTCATCGATCTAATAAAGCAGTTCGACTCTGTGAAGAGAAATGCGCTTTGGGCAATTATGGAAAAGTTCGGAGTACCCAACAAATTTCTTACAGTGTGTAAAAGCCTCTCATAACAACAACAAGTCAAGAGTGTCACAAGTCATTGATGTTTAAAGCGACCCATTCCTAACAAATACAGGAGTTAGGCAGGGATGTAAGGTAGTCTCCTATTTTTATTATTGCAGCGCTCTCCATTATCAGTGGACAGCAAACTGCAGAGAGAGGATTTAGTATTAGATACAGATATGACGGCGGTCTGTTCAGCCTTAAAAAAGACTCAGGGCATAAACACGTACAAAATTTAAAATAGAACTTCAATACGGCTCTAGTTGCAAACACGGTACAACAATTACAAGAAATGTTGAACACATATACCTGGGCATAAAAATCTGGGCCTTAAGCTGAACATCGGCAAAACTAAAATCATGTGCACTCCCCTGAAGATCACAACAATAAAACAATCGGAGAGTGAACTATTCATGTGGCGGATCCCTGCCCTACCTTGGCAGTTTGATTTCGGAAAAGGCTGTGTATTAGACTCTGAAATTCAACAGGATTAGTGGCAGCCTCAAGATTATTCTGGACAGCAAAAGACAGGAAAGAGGAATCATGTTTGAGTATAAAAATAAACTTGGGGTATACCGAGCAATTATAATCCCCTCAGGGCAATAATACGTATAAAATGCCTTACCGAACTTCATGAACGCATTGAATGAGTTGCAACAGAAACACCTCAGACAACTGTCAAGAGTCCGGTGGTTCCATTATGTCTCAAACGCATCAGTCAACAGTCCTTGAAAAAGCTAACTGCGAGAGCGCTGAAGTCATGATTACTATAATCCCGCTTAAGAAGGGCTGGCCACGTATGCAGGATGCAAGAAAACCGCCTATCGAAATATCTTCTTTACGGTGAGCTTGTAGAGGGTAAGAGGAAACCGGATGGACAAATAAAAAGATACAAGGATATTTTCCATGAAAACCTAAAGGGGATAAGTATATAGAATCAGTGGGAGGAAGCAGAGCACAATAGAATGCTATGGAGAAGAATTGTAAACTCGGTTAAGAGGTCTTACTCTGTCAAAAAGTAAAGAGGCAACAAAGCAATGAGATTTTTGAATGTCCGGAGTGCGGTAGGCAGATAACATCACGTATCGGGCTTTTCAGTCACAGAAAAGCTCATGAAAGAAAACGCCTTGCGTGACCATTTTCTTTATGTGTGTCGAATACTCGTCAGCGAGTAACGGCTGTATGTATGTATTTATTTTATATTATTGTGTAGTGTGTGTTAATGTCTTGTCCATATATAGTCCAAACCATAAAAACAAGTGGAGAGTGTCACCATCGTGGATCACTGAGCGATCCCTGTCCTTCTGAACAAATATAGTTAGCCATAGTGTTGCACAAGAGTCTTGAAAAAGTCTTGCAAGACCAAGACTCTTGCAAGAAATTCAAGACAAGACTTTCAAAATTTCTTGCCTTGAATTTCAAGACAAGACAAGACTTTAATATGCAAGAAATTTCAAGAGTCTTGCAAGATTTCTTAAATTCAAGATTTCTTGAAAGTTAGATATGATACATTTTTTAAGAGATAATTAGGTCTTTGCGCAAGTTATGCCAGGTTTATACAACATTTACATAGTCGTAATCACAATCATAGTCATCATAAAAGTTAATCTATCCATTTCTTATAAACCTGTTGACATCTACCATGAACTTAGCCTTTAATTATGTAACCCAACTTCCCTGATATAAAAATTATGAATATGAAAATGTTCTATAAACGCACATTAAAACTGCGTTGTGATTATGACGATGATTAAGACTGTGATTATGATTACGACTTATGCAAATGTTGTATAAACCCGGCATTAATATTGACCAGTGTTCATTTTTTTTATCATAGCCAGTGTTTTAGAGTTAATAATGAAATAAAATAAAGTCGAGGCAACAAACCGTATATTGGTAGTTGGTATTATACACAAAATTATATTGGTATAATGGTATTATAAAAAAACTAGCGGTAGTTGAAACTAATGGTGGGTTCGTGGAGCACGCTATTTGCACTATTTGGTACTACTTTTCATGCACGAAATTGCTCCGCGAACAAAAAGTAGTATCAAATAGCGCAAATAGTACACTCTAGCATGACCTTTCCGTACACCCTGTGTCCAAACTTTTCCAACCAATCTTCCATAATAAAAAAATAAAATAAATACCGTAAAATAAAAGTAACAAATCCTGTTTCGTCAAACGGGCGAGTTGACGTAGTTCGTTTGCGGTCCGTTAAGATTTTTTTTGCTAAAATTGCATCGTTGTTGTTCATTTTTCCGTATTACATTTTGTATACGACGCTTTCTATAAAATAAAATATAGAAATATTATTACCTTTTTGTTAGAATGTAAAATTTTTCAAGACAAGAAATTTCAAGAGTCTTGCAAGACAAGACAAGACTTTGCCATTCAAGAAATCTGCAAGACAAGACTTTAAAAATATCTTGTCTTGAATTTTGAGGCAAGACAAGAAATTGATTTTCAAGACTTTCTCAAGACAAGAATTCTTGTCTTGTGCAACACTAGTTAGGCAGGGATATGTCTTAGCTCCTCTCCTATTCAATTATATTATAGTGGACAGCAAACTGCAGGAAAGAGGAATGGGTGTTAGATATAGGTATAACCGGGGCCTGTTCAGCATAAAAGACTCAGGGCAATAATACGTATAAAATTCATCACAGAACTTCAATACGCTAATGGCTACGCAGAAACACCTCAGACAACTGTTAAGGATCAAATGGTACCACCATGTCTCAAAGGCATCAGTCATCGGTCCTTAAAAAAGCAAGCTGCGAGAGCGCTGAAGTCATGATTACTATAATACCGCTTAAGATGGGCTGGCCACGTATGCAGGATACAAGAAAACCGCCTACCGAAATCTCTTCTTTACGGTGAGCTTGTAGAGGGTAAGAGGAAACCGGATGGACAAATAAAAAGATACAAGGATATTTTCCATGAAAACATAAAGGGGATAAGTATGCAGAATCAGTGGGAGGAAGCAGGGCACAATAGAATGCTATGGAGAAGAATTGTAAACTCGGTTAAGAGGTCTTACTCGGTCAAAAAGTAAAGAGGCAACAAAATAATGAGATTTTTGAATTTCCTTAGTGCGGAAGAGAGGTAACATCACGTATTGGGCTTTTGAGTCACAGAACAGCTCATGAAAGAAAACGCCTTACGTAACCATCTTCTGATGCGTGTCGAATACTCGTCAGCGAGTAATATGGCAGTATAATGGCAGTTAATATCTTGTCCATATAGACAGACTATTATATTTAGTGTTGTTGATTGTACCCATGCTATAGGGATAAGCTACTTAATTACTTCTGACAAAAGAACCTTTTAACTTTAGAAAATAGCCTTGATAAACACGGAAATACATGTCGAAACGTCGGCAATGTTGTTGCAAAAAGTTTTTTAGGGGTTTATTTTCTAATCATAAACCTACGAACGCCACATTTCAATTATATATTATAAAATAATAAAAGACACTAATTTTCAAAAACAAAATACTCTATTATGAAACATTAATATATTTTCTAAAACAAAACAAAAGCATTTATACAAAATAAGTGTATGGAGCGGCAGGGGCAATCAATGGTGCGGCTACTGCTCTGGCTACCACTGGAGCTGGCTGGGCTATCAACGGAGCGCTTCTGGCGATCAAAGGAGCGGGCTGAGCTACCAAAGGAGCGGCTTGGCCTACTACAGGGGCAGCTACAACTTTACTGGCAACTACCGGTGTGGCGGCTACAGCCAAGGGAGCTTTGCGTACCACAGCGTTGAATCCATTGACTGGATCAGCAGTGTAGTCAACAATACGACGAGTACCTAATAACAAAAGGAAGTTATAACTTGACTTATATTAACAACACCATAACTATGTTTGTTACACAGTAAATTAAGATTATGCTAAAACCTGTTTTAGTCCACTAAAGCACTTATTTGGCAATAGGGTGCTTAAAGAGGACTTAAATTGTACCTATTTGTTTCTGTAATTTTGATAATATTAGCAACAGTTCGCTGTTCTAACTGTTTGAAAAAGCTTATAATGTTTATAAAAAAAGTATGTTTTAAATTCTGTAATAATATTAAAACAAAAAATCATTCTTTTCCATTTTAAAAACAAGGAAGAACATTTTGCTAACTTTTTAACAAGCATTTTTTTGTCGGGGCCCTTTTTGGCTTAAAAATGTATGTCAAAATATAATTAACTCTTCATAAGTAATAAATGTACTGAAAATAAATATTCCTAAAAAGGGACAGCCTCCAATCCATTACTTTTTTTTGCTGTTTGAGGATGTGCTTGTACCTAACAATGAAATGTTGTGCTTGCTCTCAGTTAATTCTTGTTGGACTCACTGCGGCACATCTCAAAAATTAAGATAAATGGATAACAGGAAAGAAAACCTGAATGGATTTTTTTTGTAAAAGGAATCAAGCGAAGTTTACAAAATCAAAATGTGATATTTTGACTAGAACTTAAAACTAGACCTAACCAAACAATTTGTTTTTAACATATTTATATCAATCTTATTGCTTTAGATGTACCACTATACAAATGCTAAATATGCTACGAGTGTTGACGTTGACTAGGTTAGTTTATAGTTTAAATGTAGCTATTTTGAATGAAATATGATTTTCTATCAAAATCACCAGACATCTGCTTGATCAGTGAAAAATAAGAAAAAAACAACGCACATTTCATATTTTCTTTGTACTAGTCAACACTAAGCCATTGGGGAAGAGTTAGATGAATTCTCCAATCTTTAATTTACTATCACTGACTGGTAATAAAGATACACAGATACAAATAATTTCCTGATTCTCAAGTATGGGAATCTTTATGCCTATCTTGGTCCAGAGCAAGTACTGGGAATACCCAAATGTATGGCCCGTAGTGCACTAAAACTCTGGATCAAGGAAAAGCACAATGTCCACTGGAGAAACAGACAGGGGCACAGGCACAGAAAGGCTTTTATCCAAGGACCTAGCTCTAAAACCGCAAAAGAACTGCTAATGCTTAGCAGGAATAAAGTGCGGATTACAACAGGCCTCTTGACAGGACACATGGCTGTCAAGTGTTATCTGAACAAGCTCAACCTGTATCAAGGAAGTCTTTGCTGCAGACTCTGCGATAAAGATCCTGAAACAGCGGAGCACATAATAGGTCATTGCGAGGCTCTGGATCGCAAGCGACACTCTTTATTTGTGAAAGCTAGGCTAGAACCAGAGGAACTATGCTCCCATCATATCAAGTACCTGCATGAGCTAGTGCAGGGCACAAGGATAGGAGAATGGGTGCAGATATAGAAGGGGGACAAACACAATAGGCCTCACAGGTCGCAGTGTTTCCGGCAGAGGACGGCCCCTTGTTATGGAAAAAAGTATGGGAAACTAACTTTCTAAAGTAACTAATTGTTTAAGAGCCTATTACGCTGTACTGTTCTGGTCGCTCTCAGTGGTCGGGTAAAGCGGGTGTGTGGCCGAAGGAAATATATATTATATTTCAGAAATCTGCCTAAGGCTTAGCCCGATCCTGTCGTGTTAAGCCACACCCAAAATTCCAAACACACACGCTTTGATTAAGGGTTGATTAAGGTTTGCAGAGCTTCAGCATTTGCCATAAAATAGGAAGCAAGTTGTTACAAAACCATATAAATAATATATCACTGTAATCACAAAACTTCAATCTATTTACGTATTGTAACGGAATTTTAAATTACGTATTTGTTTTCGAGAAAATTTAGTCCAAACATAAGGAATGTTTTATTGATGTTTGACCATCAAAATCTTAAAAATAAAGAAGTTGTCTAAAAATGTGCTACAATACGGATATAGTATAATCCTCTATCTTTACTTTTCTTCTTCACTTGTTTAAAAATACCTAGCCAGTTTTACATAAAACGTTAAATGCCGAACGCTTATTTTGCTACCTTTTCGGACTAGTGAAATGGACTCTTAAATGAAGAAGCATTATTCCTGTTAGGGAATATTTTTAGACATACCATATCGGCAAAAGATAGTCTTGGGTCGGTATGACATGTCTAGGAGTGAAGCGCTTTGATGATCTTGTAAATCAGAGAGAGAAAAATGCGAAGTGATATTACATAACCACTTAATCCGTGGATATATTTCATGCGCTTGGGAAAATACTTGCTCTTCTTCATTCGTACAATGCATCTTGTTGTAGTGAGCGTATTGACTGTACTTTTCTTACAATCAAATAAAGACTCCATCCGTAATCTGGAATAGGAGTACTCCAACGGTCTAAGACACGCCAAAAAGTTTCTCAGAACTTACGACCGAGAAAAATCAAAAATTTTCCTTGATTTTAGTAAAAACAATCTTCGGATTGTGACGGGATTTCTAACAAGACACCGTCTCAACAACGAACACCTCAGTAGGCTGAAGCAGAGAAACAACGGCGAATACAGATTCTGTGGGAAAAATGGGGAAACACCAGAATACCTTATCACTGAGTGCGCCGAGACGACGAACGTTCGTGCCATGAACTTTGGTACGGTTGATTTCGAGGATGGAGAGCTGGCCTCTATGAAGCCGTCTTAGATACTAGCTTTTGTTAAAGCCCTGAAACTATATGATGAGTTATAACTCGTTATAACTCAAGAAAGGGGAACATACAATAGATCTGTAAGGTCGCGGTGATTAACTCCCCTCTTAAACATTCTACTTCATAAAATCTAATCTACCGGGTGTTGCATCGTCGGACGGGACATAGGAAATCCGTGTAAATTTTAGGAACATGTAAATTTTAATGGGGTCAATTATTGGCTTCCCTAATTATTTTAGAGAATAATTCTATTTAGGTTTAGTGAAGAGCACTAAAACCCACATTCAAAAGAATAACTTTAGATATTTTTGATTAGCACGTTTACGAGTTATCGCCGATTTCTTTTTAAATATTTCTCTTTTCTTATGGCCTTGTATTTACTTATGAGCACCAGTCAAGGTAAAAGATAACTGTCAAATGAAGTTGTCATTTCAGAAATTTACCTATTTAGTGCTTTATTATTATTGAAAACTCATTCCTACATCGGAAATCTTAAAGATGTATTTATAAATACAAATTAATATGAATTAAAGTAAAATAAAGTAATCAATTACAAGGTTAATTATAGTATTATTACAATATTCAATAACTTATTAATTTAGGTACTATTAAATTGTTCGAACTTTAGGATTTAAGAAGATGTTCAAATATTCCTCCATCGACTGCTAGACCTAGACAATAACCCAGGCGATCATAAAATTCTCTTCTTACATTCGCTAGTTGGTAAACTGAAATTCTATTGCATTCGGCAGAAATAGCATTTTTTAACTCGACTAGATTTGGGTATTTTTTATCCTTGTATATCCTGTTTTTTTAATGGCCCCAGAGAAAGAAATCATTTGGCGAAATATCAAGAGACCTTGCTGGCCAATTTACTGTATGATTTAGGCCAATATCGTTTCCGTTAAAACTATTGTCTAAATATTCCCGAACAGCCAGGGTACTATGTGCCGGGCAGCCATCCATTTGGTACCAAACTTCCTGATTTTCCCTAGCGGCATCATGTAAAGCAGGTAAATTATGATTTTCGAGTAGTTCCAAATAATATTCTGCTTTTAAATTTCGCGTAAGAAATAATGACCCGATAATATCGTGTCCGAATATCCCTGCCCAAACATTTACTTTCTGTGGATATTGCGTCCTTGTTTCGACAAACCTGTGTTGGTTTTCTTTGTTCCAATATCGATAATTTTGAACATTGGGTTCATTATTTAAGGTAAACGTGCATTCGTCAGTGAAACATATGTTTTTTTAAAAATTCCCTATCCGTGTTTGCTCTTTCCATCATATCAAAACAAAACGCCTGCCGCCGTATTTCGTCCCCATCTCGTAGCTCTTGGTGCTTTTCATATTTGAAGGAATAGTATTTCAAGTTTCCTTGTGCTGATCTTTCCATCGTTCTCTTCCACGTACAATAAAACGTCCAAGTCGGTATCATTTCTTATCATCTTCTCTTAGTTCCTGCATTGCTTCACATCTGCAGTTATTTATTAGGGTACCTTTGGTCTCAAATCTCTGAATAATCCTTGCGATTGAAGATTTTCCAGGTATCGGTCTATTCGGATACAGAGCAGCAAACATGTCCGACACCTTTTCCACCACCACCGACAAAGGAAATAGTTATCAAACTATTTCCTTGATATGTACCATTTAATCATCAATACTTTTTCTTCGGTAGTGTAATTCATGGCTAATATTTTCGATGTAGGTATGAGTTTTTAATAATAATAATAAAGCACTAAATAGATTAATTTCTGAAATGACAACATCATTTGACAGTTATCTTTTACCTTGACTGGTGCTCATAAGTAAATACGGGGCCATAAGAAAGGAGAAATATTTAAAAAGAAATCGGCGATAACTCGTAAACGGGCTAATCAAAAATATCTAAAGTTATTCTTTTGAATGTGGGTTTTAGTGCTCTTCAATAAACCTAAATAGAAATATTCTCTAAAATAATTAGGGAAGCCAATAATTGACCCCATTAAAATTTACATGGGATTTCCTATGTCCCGCTCGACGATGCAACACCCGGTATATAGAAGAAAGGTTGCAGCAATACTCACCATCAGGGTCTGTCAAACTGTATTGTCCTTGCACGTAGTCTCCATTCCTGCTTTCCACTTGGGCCTTACTGTCACCTGTCAGAGCGTCCTGCACGTCATAGCCGAAGGAGTACTGAGGATTGACATCGAAGGTTTCTTCGGCAATTTTGGCGGCTACAACCGGTGCGGCTACGGCTCTGGCTGCTACTACGGGAGCCGCTACGGCGGGAGCTGCTACGAGAGGAGCTACAGCGCAATTAGCGACAGCTACGAAAGCGGCGAAACAAGCAACCTAAAAAAGAAAAACATAGTATTGTATTAGAGCACGTATAGGTATACAAAATAAGTTTTGTAACTAGTATCATAGCGATGTGTTTATTAATAATATTGAATATTATATTTTTAGAAAGCTCATGAAAAATCAAATAAAATAAAAATTAATATACAGGGTACCCCATTTAAAAAATATTGGGTGTGCGCATATTTGAAGTGTAACTTCAACACTTCAACAGTTATGAAATTGAAGAAATTGAAGGATATATATTTTTTTTGAATGTATTTTATAAATTTCAAAAAAAATATAATTAATATAAAACCGTATACAATTCTAGCTTTATAATTTTATGTTTTTTTTTAATTTTATTAAAAAACGATAATTCAATCAACCGGTTCAATAGCCCTGGCAGCTGTGCCATTAAACCAAAATACTACTACATCTATACAGGGTTGTTCACCACATACGACACGGAGTATTGTAGCTAAACGATTAGATTTTTACAAATTGTAAGTTTTGAGTTCGTTGAAGGACTATTAGAGCTACAATTTAAAAATGTTTTTACAAGATACAGATTGTCCCAAATAAATAAAAAATATGAAAGTTGTATTTTTTAAATGGAACACCCTGTATACATTTTTAGTTTCTACGATTAAAATAAAGGTAAATTTGATTAAGCTTTATCACCCTTAAACCTTACCGTTTTTGAAATATTTTCAATTTTGTGAAATTGCAGTAAAAATGTTAAGGTTTCATTTCTCCAAGGGTATCAAATTTTTAATACTAAATATTTACTGAAGTTTAATTATTGATCAGTTATTGTGTTGCAATAATAAAAATAATACCACCTCATACAGAGTGTCTAAAAATTTATCTTAAATAATTTCTAGCTTTAAACGGCAATAACTTGTTTAATTTAAATAGAACACCTTGTATATTTTAGGAGAATCAGATGCACAATTTTATTGTCCATCAAATTCTATTTTACCATTTTTACCTATCCCTTCAAGTTTTCGTAGAAAATGCATTTTCTTATAATTTATACCTCATTTATCAATATACCCATGGAACATTGACATTTTAGATTGTTTTTAAAGCAACAAATATACAGGTGCTAAAAACGATAATATTACCAGCCTATTGGTATACAAAAATAAAACTATTTAAATCTTTATAAAAGAGTATACCATTAATTAAATATACCACCATTATTTCCGCCAAAATATTAATTAATTACATATTTAATTGTGTTAGTTAATAAATTATTCTAAATATATGTGGATTTGGAATCAGAAATCAATATAATAATAAGTTATGAAAATGAACGTCTCTGTTATTATAAATAAGCATCCGTCAAAAAATGAAATAAAATTTTTAAGGTGTTACTTTTGACCACACTGTCTAATACACATACAAAATTAAGTTTTTTAGTATTTGTAGCAATTATTATTAATCAACGCAAATAGTCAATTAATGTAGTTTGAATACTGGAATCATATTAATTGGTCCTCTTTTACAAACATTTAAACAATTTTTTTATTTTTAATGACATAAACGAACTATATCGACAATATTGGTATATGTACCTTTTAAAAATTTGTTACATCTTTAAAAATAATCAAAAATGTCAATATTCCATGGGTATATTGATAATTGAGGTCTAAATTATAAGAAAATGCATTTTCTACGAAAACCTGAAATGTAAAACCTAAAATAACTCCGTTATTTTGGACTTATTTGAAAATCGATAAAGAGAAAATATGGTTTTTTATCGAGATCTACCACCCCTTAAAATACTTGCATTTATTTCTGGAACACCCTGTATATAAAGCATCGGGGCGAGTATCGCATTGAGATGCCTCATTATGTAGGTACCCTTAGATTCATAAAAAAGTAGCGCCGTGGAAACCGCATTTTTGTATCTCTGCTCATAAAAGCTCAAGGTAAAGCACAAGGAAATGGGACACCGTGTAGAGTACAGTGTACTGCAGAGGGTGCGGAGAATTAAAATTAAAACTAAAATGAATTTTCATAATTTTCTATGAAACCTCATTGAACTTATACCGATTATACAGGGCAATTATGAAAGTAAATGCTTGAAATAAGCGTGTTAGAGACGTACCTTAAGGGCCATGGTGAGCAGACGTTGTACAAAACGAAAGATCGTCAAGGGACTAGGATTTAAGACACTAATGCTGGCAATGAGACGTAATTTGGTTTATATACAAGTGCGCCAAGAGTTTGGGCTTTCATAAGCCGCGGTCTACGGACGGCGCTAGAGAATACTAATGACAATTTGGAAACAATCCAGGGTCGGGCCGACCGTTGCATAAAATTACCATTTCGGCTATTTGGGATTTTGCTATTCTTCGTTCTTTAGCTGGTATGGAGAAGTTTGTATTGGTTTAGTTTTAGAACAGATTTTAAACGGACTATTTCTTTATGGTATAATAATGTCTAATACTGTATGCTTAAGGAATTCGTATAGAAATATATAGGGTGGTCCGAACTGTGTTCCGGAAACGTCGGCAGCATATTATGCAGATAAAAATAAGTAAAAAAGTTCTTATAAATGTATATCCTAAATTGCTTAGTTTCGGAAATACAGAGTGTAGAAGATTCATTTTTATCTAGATTTTTCCAAATAATTTCTAAAGTAACGTCACTATTTGGATGAAAATTGGTGTCTGGAAAGTTTTTTGACATGAGAAATTTGATTTTGATGTCAATATGACTCATATTTGTAGGGAGCCCCACTTACATGTATTTTAACTGTTTTGAAGAACAGTTTGAACTACTGAGTAAAAAAATATACATTTTCGTGATTTTTTAATTAAAAAATGTATCTAAGATATTTAGAATGGAAATAGTCAATACGTCATTATTTATTTTCAAAAAAATGATGATAAAACAGCTTCTGTTGAACTTTTGACACAAAACCATTTCAAATTTATGATTAAGTCTAATAACTCTATGTCAGGATATTTAAATTATATCAATGATGACAGGTATTGATAATTTCGATTCCAAATACCTCGAGAACCATTACTCTTAGCGATTTTAACCCAGAGACATTTTTTGCATAAAAAATGTCGTAAATGTATAGTTTTTACTCAGTAGCATTATACAGGAACGGAAGAAAATTTATTACTCTTTAAACCAGTTAAAAAATATGTAGGTGGCGCCCTCTACAAGTAGGAGTCATATTGACATAAAAAAATTATGTCAAAAAACTCCCATACACCAATTTTCATCCAAATATTAACTTACTTGAAATGAAATTTCTACACCCTATATCTCAAAAACTAAGAATTTTAGGACATACATTTATACGAACTTTTTTACTTATTTTTATCTGCAGAATATTCTACCGAAGTTTTCGGAATACAGTTCAAACCACCCTAGGAGAGTTATCTATATATTTTGATACATTTTTTCTTCTGGCTTGCTACATACAGTGTTCTGAACAAAGTTTATATCGCGGGGTTATATTATATGAAAAAACAGTGTAAATTGAAACCGCGTATATTGAAACAAAATTTTTATTACATAAACTATACAGGATGAGTGGACGAGTATTAAATAAGTGCAAATATTTTTAAGTGTGGTATATTTCTACTCCAGAAATATGTCTATGGGTTTTTCTTGTGAAAAAAAAATGATTTTTCAGATTTTTTTTCAATTTTCACTAGTAATACCACTAAAAAAATGTCCGGAAATAATTTGACCTCTAGTGGTATTCGGTAAGAAAATTCCACACCAAATTGTGTTTGAAAATCAAATAATTAAAATGTATTTTTCGATTTTTGGTCGAATTGATTAGTTAGTTACTATGACAACTAACTAAAAACTATTTCAGTTTCGAAGCTGTCAAGCGGCACGGCTTAAAAAAAATGTTTCGCTTCGGTCATGAAAGCAAAGAAAATATTCGCCAGGAGATGAAGCAGTTGACACCCGCGAATACTAGGAAATCGAAGTCAAGGGTATGGAAGCAGTTTACAAACTTTCATCTCAGCTTTGTAATTGAAATGTATCAAAATTATCATGTAAACAAATAAAAACCAGACTCTCAAAAAGATATTCTGTCATTATAAACGTCAAAAAATTTCCAGTATAATTCGCTGTTGGGTGCCCACAACGAAAAAATGTTCACTAAAATTTATCCGTTGCCCGTTTTGATTGGTTAAAAATTACAGGTGTGGAATTTTCAGTACCTATTATCTTGATAATATGACAACATCGGTAGTAGATTAAATTTTGAGAAAGGAACAAACAGCGGTTTTCTAATTTTTTTTTATTATGATTTATTAGCAATCAGAATAATTACAAAGAAATTCTATGAGCTAATTTGATGACTTGAGAGCAATGACGCTCCAGTTAACGTGATGAGGTCTTCTCCAGGGAAAAATCCTCATTAATATTATTTCAAATCAGATGGCCTTTGTCTTTTAAGTCTCCTTGTAGGTACTGGTTCAAGTAGAGGCTGAAGTAAAGTATTAGTGTGATCATGTAGTCTATTGAAATGTTTTTTGCTCCGAGTTTGGATGACTTCTTTGACGTATGGAATATTTAAGTCTTCATGTAGAGTATGACAGGTGCCCGGTGGCGTAGAGGTACAGGCTCTCGTCTACCAATCTCGAGGTAGTGGGTTCGATTCCCTCACCCGGCATTGCAGCAGCCGACTATTTTTATTAAAATAAAAATAGTTTGGGTACCTAGGTCGTCTCAGCCTTAAATGAGTACTTGGGATTCACAATCCTGAGGTAGTAATAGGCGGTTGAAGCGTAGTGCTAGCCACATTACCTTCCTTGTATACCGAACGGCTCTAGTATGGCAAGCTGTACCTTGCTACTCCCAAGGCGTTAAACGCTATATACGGGAGCTATTATTATTATATGTAGAGTATGACTGGAGACATACCATGGTGCACCTGTTATCATCCGTAGAATTTTGGAGTGGTTCCTTTGTGTTAAGGCTATATTTGATTTACAAACGCATCCCCAGAGTTCTGGCCCATATGTCCAAATAGGTATTATTATGGTTTTGTACAAAAGAAGTTTATTCTCTAGCGATATAGTTTAGATCTTTTTCCTATTAACCAATATAAGTATTTTATTTTTAAATCTATTTGCTTACGTTTCTTTACTATGTGTTCTTTCCACGTAAGCTTAGTATCCAAGTGCATACCTAAGTACTCGGTAAAGGAAAATTGCGGAATTAGTGTGTTGTTTAAGTATACTGTATATTGGAGGGCTGGATTTAAATTAAGAGTTATTTGGACCAATTTTGATTCAGTTTTATTTTCCAATCACGCAACCATGCCTCTTTTATATTTAGATGTCCTCTACTATCAAGGAAGCGGTTTTCGGCTTTTTTTTGACAGCCATAATTACTGTGACATCTGCAAAAGTAGCCCTTGTTGTTTTATTGTTTGTGAGAAAGTCTGTTGTATAAAGGACATAGAGTAGTGATCCTTAGTAAACTATCTTGTAGAACACCTGCATTTATGTTCTAATTTGCAGATACATCCTCACTTATTCTCACTCTAAACTCTCTACCATTTAGGTAGGATTTCAATAGCGGAAAGTACGACATGGAAAGATAATTTTTAATCTTGTGAAGTAGTCCCGTATGCCATACTTTTTCGAAAGCTTCTAAATTTAAGGAAAATATTTTAAAAGTTCACACTTGATAACAAGTCCAAAATTGACTGAATCATTGTCTACCACATTCAATAAAACATATACAGGATTATTCACGACCATGGTACGTTCGACGTGTCATATTCCTATACCTAAACCTTCCGATTTCTTAAGTAGAGCTATTCAAAAATTAATAATTTTATTATTATAGTTTCAAATAAAGAATTTTGTTACCATGACAATTTTAAAAATCTAGCAAGTAAAGGCTAATTTTATTGATATATTATATAAAGTTTAAATATTTGTCTAAAATAATTCTAAATTAAATATTTGTCTATAAAAGATACAACTATAATAGAATTATTATCTTTTAAATGATTGCAAACTTTTGTTTCGTGTTTCTCTGTTTTTCTTTAATTTTAATACGAACGTAATTACTTTGAATGTTTTGATTTTAAAGTTGAATTTCAAAGTCCAAGGTTCAGTGGAAAGAGTTAACAGAGACATTGAGACAATGTTAGCTGTTAGCATTCAAAACGTCAAAATTAGTTATAGTAATTTTCAATTAGTAGAAAAAATTAACAAACTTTTAAGCCTCATTCAGAACCTCGCAATTAATGGAATAAATTGGTGGTTTCTATTAGCGTAGTAGTTTGTTCCTCTAATTTGAATGTAACCATTCAGAACGTTAAAATTAGTGGTAGAAATTTTCAGTTAGTGGAAAAAGTTGGCAAACTTTTAACTTTTTCACTAATTATACTTCAAAATTTGCGAGGAATGTCATTTTGGCCTTTGATTATCTTCCGTCAAGAGGAAATGTCGTTAGAAATCAAAAGTTTATTGTTTTATAAGCTAAATATTAGGCTCTCTCTATGGATACAAGTCATGGTACAAAGAATACAAGGTATGATATTGCGCAGGTTGGTCGCTACGTCACAGGTGATAACAGGCGCTATTGGTCAGCACGCTCCGCGCGCCAGTTCAAATCGTGAAGGTATTGTTATAAACCTGTTTTTTTGTTTATATACCGTCATTGAATTATCGCTAAGCAAGTTACTGTGGAGCAGTGCGTAAGAAGTTGGGCTAGGAAGCGAGGGACCGGAGTTCGAATCTCGGCGAGACATAACTTTTTTTTAATACTGTTGTATTCTATAGTTTATTTTTGTAGTATAAAAGAAAGAACTATTTATTCTGTTATTTTTTAATCTGCGGTATTAATATAAATTGATTGTTGGTACAATACCTCATTTAATATAAAATAATATTCTACTTTTTGTAAATGTATCTGGCCCTAATTGTACCTAAAAGTAATATATTTTTACAGTGATATACCATATTGTAAACTATTTAATATTTTAGTCACTTAAAAAGTTAATTTGCATTGAATAATTGCCTACGATCAAAGGAAATTTGAGCTATATAATCCTTGATGGGCATATTCTGGGTATGCAAATACTTCCTCTAAATTTTGGGTTTCGTTCAACCGATTTATTCTCAAAACCTGAAACATCTACATATAAAAAGAAGCACCAGATCACTAATTATAATAAACTTCACCCTTGGAATTACTTCTATCA